TAAACATCAATTTGCTGTGGTGACCTCAGCATGGTATAATGACACAGCTTACCGTTTCCTCCAGGGGAACTGATCTCTGCCACCTGAATAGCAGCTACAATTCTGAGTGATCTCCAGCTGTCACCTGGAGATTGGCAGCAGTGGTTCCCCAGGAGGAAATGGCTGGTTTGGAGGGTGGAGCCTATGGCATTGTACCTGTCTGAGGTCCCACCCCTCCTCAAACCTCACCCTCTCCAAGCTCCACCCCTCAAATCTCCATGAATTTCTCAGCCTGGAGTTGGCAACCCTATTTCCTTCCCAGCAAACCATCAACCTACCTTTATCTGCCCCTCTTGACTTCAGCTTTCCATCTCCTCCCCTCTGGAGAGCAGCTGTAATTCTGAGTGATCTCCAGCCCTCACCTGGGGATTGGCAACAATGGTTCCCCAGGCAGAAATGGCTGGTTTGGAGAGTGGAGTATATGGCATTGTACCTTTCTGGGGTCCCACCCCTCCTCAAACCTCACCCTTTCCAGGCTCCACAACTCAAATCTCCTGGAGTTGGCAACCCTTTCTCCTTCCCAGCCAATTATCAACTTACCTTTATCTGCCCCTCTGACTTCTGCTTTCCATCTCCCCCCACACACACACACCTGCAGCCTCTTACACTGCTTGGAAGCCCTGACTGCTACGTCACACTGACTGTCATGGGGGGCCACCTCAGCAGAATATAAGGACAGAGTCCACCATTTTCTCCAGGGAAACTGATCTCTGCCATCTGGAGAGCAGTTGTAATTCTGAGTAATCTCCAGCCCTCACTTGGAGATTGGCAACAATGGTTCCCCAGGAGGAAAAGTACAGTATTTCTCTGCAGTGGGGACCAAAGCAGCTTACATCATTCTCCTCTCCCCCTTTTGATCTGCACAACCCTGTGAGGTAGGTTAGGCTGAAAGCCTGTGACTGGTCCGAAATCACCCATTCAGCTTCCACAGCAAGAACCTGTGTCTGGCAGACCCTGCTCTGAAGTGTTAACTGCTATGCCACACTGGCTGTGGTATCACCTGGTATCATAACTGAACTCCAGACAGCAGATCTCTCTCTGCTTTGGAGGGTGGACTCTATGACATTCTACTCAGCTAAGGCCTTTTCCCTCTGCGAACCCTGGCTTCCATAGACTCCACCACATAATTTCCAGGAATTTCCCGACCTGGAGCTGGCAACCTTAGGCAGGACTGGCCCCAATGAGTTCCCCACAAAGGCCTGGAAAGGGCTTCATTCCTTTGCCTTTTTACTGACAGAACCAAGCATGGTTGTCTAGCAACAGCCACTGAGGGAAAAGTTAGTTCCAAAGGAGCCAAGTAGGAGAAGTGTCTTTCTCAGGAGATACAGCCGTTTTGGCAATTATTCTGACAGGGAAGTGGCTGAGGCAGCAGTGGCTGGGAAAGAGGAGCGGACCCAGCACCCAACCAATGTCATGTGAGTATTCTTGAGTGGCAGTTGATTGGCCAATGGCTGAACGAGCACATAGCACAGCCAATGGGAGAGCTGGAAATGGCCAACATGTTAGAGTTAGAATTCTAACAGTACAATATCCATTTTTAGGCTGGATTACCAGAACTGTATACAGCATTCAACAGCTTGAATCTTTTGGCCCTGTTCCCAGATGCTGATTGCTACACCACGTGTCTAGTATAAATCAGAAAGGTGGCTTCGTTGGGAGTGGAGAATCCCATAAAAAGCAAGTTCCATGGAGAAAGTGACATGGTATGGAGAACTGCAGGCTGGAAGGTTGGTAGTTCAGCAGTTCGAGATCTCAGTGCCACATGAAAGACTGAGCTCCTGTCTCGGTTCCAGCTCCTGCCAACCTAGCAGTTCGAAAGCAAGAAATTGCAAGTAGATAAATAGGTACCACTTCAGTGGGAAGGTAACAGCGTTCTGTGTGCCTTAGTGTTTAAGTCATGCTGGCCACATGACAACGGAAACGTCTTCGGACAGCGCCGGCTTTTCGGCTTAGAAACGGAGATGAGTACCACAACCCTAGAGTCGGATTTGACTGGCTTTTGAGCAAGGGAAACCTTTACCTTTACTATGGAGATACTGCTAATGAAGAATAAATGCATGTAAAAGCCTGATCCAGAAGGCTAAAGAAACTTTGTTTTCAACAAGGTTTTCAACAACAAAATTAATGAATTGGAAAACAAAGCAGGTAATCCAAGAACGTTGAAAAAAGTTCTTAATAAGATACTTTTTGTAGAGGACATTTTGATTCAGCAGCATATACTTATACCAGCCTTAAGGGAGGCTTACATTTAAAAATTTAGATAAATTAGTAACTGAGCTTAAGACATTAGGATAGAACCACAAGATTGGACACAAATACTTTTATCAACAGCCTGGTTAAAAAAAAATGGATCTTGGGGACCCGTACAAGAAGAAATATTCCTGCCAGGTCTTAAGCAAAACAGAACCATGTAAATCAAGTTACTAATTTATTTTTTAAAGAGAGCAATGATTTCTCCAGTAATAAAAGTTACTACAGAGCTTGTTAAATCTAATATGGAAATAATATGCTCTGAATTTTTAAGTTTGTCTGCCACTCTGCAATTCCCTCTCAAATAGATCATTTTAGATACCTTTTCAATAATATGAAAATCTCTCATTTCTTAGAGGTACATTGGCACAAGCACAGAAAATCATAAGAATATAAGAGCTCTGCTGCAATGGTCCATCTAGTCCAGCATCCTGTTTCACACAGTGGCCAACCATTTCCTCTGGACACCCAACAGTGCAAGGAGGCCCAGGCCTTCCCCTGATGTTGTCTCCTGGCGCCGGGATCCCCTCAGTCATCACAGCTACTAGCCATTGATAGACTTATCCTCCATGAATCTATTTAATCCCCTTTTTAAAGCTGTTTATTTCTGTGGCTGTTGCTACATCCTCTGGCAGCAAATTTCAAATTAATCACTCTCTGTTTTCGGTGGCGACTCCTACCTGGTGGAAGGAGCTCCCAGAGGAGATCCGGGCCCTGCGGGATCTTTCTCAGTTCCCCAGGGCCTGCAAGACAGAGCTCTTCCGCCAGGCCTTTGAGTAGGAGCCACCACCACTAGTACTCCACCATTGCCACCTATGCACCGTCGCACCATCACCACGATTATCTGGTCCGGTTGGGGGGCGAGGTGCCCCTGCACGAAGTGGATGATAGATTTTGGTAAAGCTACCGTTAGGTTTAAGATCTACCCATCTTGTGTCTAATTTTGTTATTGTATTTTACTGTTTTATATTATGTGTTTTTATTGTTTTAATTTTGGCACATTGTGCCCTTGTTAGCTGCCCTGAGCCTCAGGGGTAGGGTGGGATACAAATCTAAGGATAAATAAATAAAAAGTAAAATTTCCTTTTGTCCATCCTGACCCTACTGCCCATCAGCTTCATTGGATGCCCTTGAGTTCTAGTATTTGGGGGGAGGAAGAAAAATTTTGCTTTGACAACTCTCTCCACCCCATGCATAATTCTATAAACCTCTACCATGTCCTTAGTCATCTCTTTTCTAAACTGAAAAGTCCCAGTCGTCAGCCTTTCCGCATAGGGAAAGTACTCCAATCATCTTGGTTGCCCTCCTCTGTACTTTTGCCAGCTCTGCAATGTCCTTTTGGAGATACGGTGACCAGAACTGTACACAGTATTCCAAATGAGGCCAAACCATAGATCTATACCGGAGCATTACAATATCAGCCGTTTTATTCTCAATCTCTTTCCTAATAATCCCTAACATGTTGTTGTTGTTCAGTCGCACAGTCGAGTCCGACTCTTTGTGACCCCATGGACCAGATCACGCCAGGCCCTCCTGTCTTCCACCGTCCTCTGAAGTTGGCTCAATTTCATGTTTGTTGCATCTATGACACTGTCTAACCATCTCATCCTTTGCCGTCCCCGTCTTCTTTGACCTTCAATCTTTCCCTTCAATCCCTAACATAGAGTTTGCCTTTTTCACCGCTGTAAGACACTGAGTTGACACTTTCATTGAGCTATCCATTACGACAACAAGATCTTTCCCCCTCTCAGTCTCAGACCCTATTAGTCTGTACTTGAAGTTGGGATTTTTTTGCCCCAATGTGCATCACCTTACACTTACCAACACAGAACTTCACTTGCCACATTGTTGCCCACTCACTCAGTTTGTAGAGGTCCTCTTGGAGCTCTTCTCAGTCAGCCTTAGTTTTCACCATCCTGAATAATTTAGTGTCACCTGCAAACTTGGCCATTGCACTACTCACCCCAAGTTCCAGATCACTGATGAATAAATTAAATCATACTGGCCCCAATACCGATCCTTGTGGGACCCCACAGCTTAATTACTTCCATTGTGAGAACTGCCCATTGATTCCTACTGTTTGCTTCCTGTCTTTTAACCAGTTTTTAATCCATAATAAAACTCGTCGTCTTATCCCATGACTGCTACGTTTACTCAGGAGTCTTTGGTGAGGTACCTTATCAAAAGCTTTTAAAAAGTATATAATGTCTACTGGGTCACCGTTGTCTACATGCTTGTTCGTTTTCTCAAAGAACTCCAACAGGTTGGTGAGGCAAGACTTATCTTTGCAGAAGCCATGCTGATCTTCCCTCAGCAGGCTTTGTCCCTCTATGTGCCTTATCTCTGATTACAGTTTCTACTAATTTGCCCGGGACAGACATTAGGCTGACTGGCCTCTAATTTCCTGGCTCCTTTTTAAAAACTGGTGCCACATTTGCTACTCTCCAGTCTTCTAGTAAAGCAGCTGAAATCATTGCACATTGTTTTAATGTATTTAATAATTCTTTGGATTACAGACTCTTGCAATCATGTAAAAATTGGAGTCCTCTTGACAGAGGATAAGAAAGTTCATACTTATAAACTAATACAACCTATGTGGATTATAAAACAATGACTGAAATTATGGCACAAATTCATAGTGCAATCCTATGCCAAATTATTCCAATCTAAAACAACCCAGTTTATGTTATAAAGAGAATTCTGTATGGGAGGACTGGATGGCTGACTGTTCTGAAACATGTAACCTTTTTCCACAGGGAAATAGAAGAATTTTTCAGCTGCCTTAGTGAAGGACTCACTTATAGACCACTTCTGAAAGACAAATTTTTTTGATTAGCTCATCGTGGATCGTAATTATGACGACTATAAATTTGTAGTGCTTCAATGACCAGCACCAATATCTGTTACGAGATGGAATTTTATTTTGTACACTGGAATATTTTACTTCTCCCTACTCTTTCCTTCAGTTTTCCTTAAATGTATTTGTTGAATTTTTCTTTTTATAGAGCTGTATCTTAACTTGATTAGGGAACCAAAAAAAAAAAAAAGACAGATGTAAATTCTGCAGTCTCCTTCACCAGACCCAGCTTAGAGGCATCAAGTCAAGTTGGAGCCAATATTAGTTTGTCATAATTCCTTTCGAGGTGTGAGAATCACAGAACCTTTGTTGACCTGGTAATGAGGGAGAATTACAGGTACATAATCATCGTTCAAAAAGATTAACATTTTAAAAAACACAACCATGGAAAAGAAGGTTTGCTTTGTGGACATGGAATTTGTTTTAGAACGGATCTCCTAAAACTGTTTGAAGAGGTGTTTGATGGCTTGGCTCCTCGCCTGTAGGACAACAGGATGAAATTATTTTGTTTCACATTATTTATTATGTTTTAATACACAATTTCCATGTGCTTTATGTGAAGCATCCACAATGGGACCCTTCCAATAAAACTCATGATACTCCTGTCTTACCAACCGATCAAATCTATCCAATTGAAGAGTTCAGTCAAGGCACTTTTAGACATCGTTTGGATTAGTTCATTCCTTTCTTTTCTTTTTAGCTTTGGACTGTGACGATCCAGGGAGTCCACTGTCTTCATCATAAAGTTTTCTTTTCTTTTTCTTAGATTGGCCACGATCACTATGGTAGCCACTAGAGTCACTAGCATGCATTCCCAGGTCTGCTCTGTCTTGTTCACACACATTCTCAGGGTTTTTATCACCGATTTCAGCCTCAGCGTCCTTGTTCTGCAACTCTCCAGTTACAATACCAGCAGTTTCTATGGTTATTTCCATCTCTTGCGTATCATCATCCTGCTTGTCACAGTGGTTTTCATATTTTTCCTGTGTTATTTTTGTCCCAGTGCTGAATTGCAAAAACACAAAGCAAGAAAGAACACAGAGAATGAGCTTCCAAAATGTTGTGTAGGTGATATATTGCAGTCCATTAATTCAATAGGAAATATTAACTCTATTCATCAGCTTTACTTTTTTTTTGATCTACTAATTTTTGCAACTTTGTTGTGAAGCTAGCCACATTTAACAACACAGATGGTATGGGTAATCAGGCCTTGCTGTTCACTGAAAGCTAAATACCGTAAAAGTGATCAACAAACCTACATAAAGCTTTCATTTTATGCACTCCTGCATTAGCCATACTATTACTGAACTATCCTTCAGATCTGAAGGCAAACCTGCAAACTCTTTGGGATGCAGCCAATTTATTCCAATATTGTATGACTGGTCAAGCTACACTTTCCCCAAGTTCAGAAGTGGGAAAAAGACAAAAGGTGAAACACAGTTCTCTACCTAGCCAATATCAGAAGCAAAGCTCCTGCTACAGTCTAAGCAATTAAATCCATTTTGTTCTCCTTGTGAATGTAATATTCTGATTCTCTGGAACTCCTTTGTAAGATACAGTCTACTACTGTACCTGTTTTTGCACAATCGTCCTCGGATGCAGAACACTCCAGCAGCATCTGAATCAAAATACAATACTTTAAAAACGAGCCTATCGCCTATTTGGAAGCAAAGGTTTTTCCATTCATCAACTGATATGTGATCAGGTCTTGGGATGGATGCATTGAAACACCCATGCACTAGACAGCCCACGTGGCTTGATGCCACTTTATTAATTATACCCTAGAGAGAGAGAAAGAGAAAGTGAGAGAATATGACGATTATGCCACAGAATCTATGTTTTGTACATTTATTATGCTCTTTCTTACTTCTATTAGTTTTGCATATTCCCATATGGAATATAAAAAGACAAACAAATTAGCAAAGTGCAGCCTTGCAGATACTGACTAAAATTTCAGTTTGTCCCATTAGCATTAAAGATTAAAAAGTAATCTACATGTTCAAGTCCACCAAAGTCTGGACCTACCATAAGCGAAAGTCAGTTTGGTGTAGTGGTTTAATCTCGGAGAATCGGGTTTGATTCCCCACTCCTCCACTTGCAGCTGTTGGATGACCTTGGGCAAGCCATAGTTCTGACAAGAGCTGTCCTTAAAAGAGCAGTTCTTGAAAGAGCTCTCTCAGCCCCACCTACCTCACAGGGTGTCTGTTTTTTCCACAGGGTGTCTGTTGTGGGGAGGGGAAGGGACAAGAGTTTGTAAGCCGCTCTGAGACTCTGAGTGAAGGGCGGGGTATAAATCCAATCTCTTATTCTCCTTTGCACAACCATACAGAAAACTGTAAGGTATAATTAAAAGCTTGGCAAATATACACCATCTTATCAGAAATCAGGTCTTAAGCTAATTTTAGTTATCATGTGACCCAAAATCCTTTACTATTTTGCATTCTTAGAATCTCTGTTGTACATGTTTTCACTGATACTATAGATATGACTACAATCCTATGCAGACACACCATTGTAGTAAACTTCCTCAGGCATACCTAATTTAGCACTGAATTATATATTTTTATATATAATGACAAATGACCATAGCAAAACCTTAGAATGCTACACTCTAATGTTATACCACATGTCAATTTCAGCGTGTTATCATACTACAGGTACCACTTACCAGAATGACTGGACGTCAGGCATTACAAGCATTAGTGAAAGTAAAAGTATATTTTACATACCACAAGTTTTTTTCCTGGTTTAGGTGTAAAGACAATAAAATTCGCTTCAATATCAAGATGGATAGCTCCCAGGTCATCAATTATATCACCCAATTCGTTTGTTATTCTAATGTCATCATAAGCCACAGGAACTCCTTGGAAACTGCAAGATAAGAGAAAACAGTTGCTGATGATCAACATGGAGAACAAGACCACATGTGCTTAAAGATTTTAAGGGCAATAAAATTTGATCTTATTTATTTAGAGGAATTACTGCACAGGGGAAAAGTGTGGAGAAAGGATTCATCACTAAGTAGAGCAAGAACTTCATAGATATGTCATTCTGGCCCTTCTGTGACCATGGAAAACTAAGAGAAGGATGCCTCACATCTGCTACACATTAACGTTTTTTTTAAAAAAAAACTTTTAAGGAATACTGAGAATCATACTGTGACAGGAGGCTGTCTTGCTCTTGAAGTGAAAACAGCCACTCAGCTGAGCCTATGGGAGTTCTGCTCCAACATCCAATCGCCTTTGGGGGAGGGGTTGGGATTTAGGGAGGGAAGCACAGCAGGAGTTCAGATCTGCCTCTTGTGCAGTGATTGCTCGGGTCTGTCTCAGCAAAAGCATAGTTAGAAGGATAGCTCTGCATGGCAGAGTAGCAGAGTGGTTTAACTCTACTTCTGGGAGAGAACAGAGTTATCAGAGACAGCCGATTTTTAGGCCTGTCTCTGGTAATGAGCAGACCTTACACGATTTATAGTCTGACTCTTGGGAAAGGGCAGGCTGGTGTGGGTGGAATCCTGTGTATGTGAGAGGATCCAATCTAGTCAGTGAGAGCCTGTTTGTACCTGTAAGCACCGAAGAAAGTTCAAGCCAGACTCTGAATCCATAACTGGCTTAAATTTATGTGCCTCAACCAGGTTTCTCTTTTGATTACCTGGAGACCTGTGCTGCTGACCTGTTCTCTGAAACCAACATGAAAGCAACTTAACTTCATCTTATTTGTTATTTATATAACTCCTGCTTCAATTAACTTTGTGTTTTACTTACTCATCGCAAAACTTACTCCACAGCAGTGAAACCAAAGCCTAGACATTCGCTGTCTTAAGAACACCTGGTAACTGAGGGGAAGGTTTACAGTTTGAAACAAACCTGGTCCCCCAAAATCATAGGAGGCTGTGTGGGTCCCCCCAGTTGATAGAAAAGGCCTGTCACACATACTACAGCCATAAGATAAGCAGAAGATAGGCTACAATTTAAGTTCTCTCAATGCTTAAATAACCATTGCTACGCCAACCAAAATCCAAATGGAAAAGCAAAAAAACCCCATGCATTTGAAGTGATATGGAAAGTAAAAGTGCAACAATTTGGTGCATTAACAGTGCCATCCTAATCAGTTACACCCTTCTGTGATCTTAGAAGGGTGAAACAATTTTATTATTTATTATCAGATTTATACCCCGCCCTCCACGCAAAGCGATGCGCATGATGGCACTGTGAATGTGATGTGGGGAAAGAGAGACCATAACCAACCCTTTTAAAGATATGGCTCAGCATGCAGACCACAGGCTCATCAACCTTTCGTGGCAGAGGGTGCACAAGGAACACGATTCAAATCATTTCCAATAATACAGAAATAAACACAACCTATTAAAAATGACAACTTCTGGGATAATGTGTGCATGTGTAATATCAGTACACCTTCTGCTAAACTGGCTACGCTCAGGGCAGATACAAGTGGCATAATGGAGCCAGTCATGAAGGGTGATAAGAGATCTCTATATATATTATAACCAGTGTTCCCTCTAAGCTGAGTTAGTGTGAGCTAGCTCACAGTTTTTTAGCCCCCAGCTCACACATTTTTGTCTTAGCTCAGGAAGGAAGGCTCCAGAGCAAACTAATTTGCCAGTTGTACGGCTGTGGAGAGGAAAGCACCCCAGAGAGTTGTTATTACAGCCCATTCCTGGAGGAATTGTATAGTTCTCGATGTTTAAAAAAAGCAAAGAACATTTTGCAGGACTTGTCACATCCTGAACATTCCCTGTTTGAACTGCTGCCTTCAGGCAGAAGATATAGGGCAATTAAAGCAAGGACAAATAGATTAAAAATAGTTTTTATTTGAGAGCTATTATTGCCTTAAATGCTATATGAAATTGGAATTTGGGTGACATTGGTGGTTTTAAGTTGTTATGTGAACCTTAAGGGAGTTATGGGACAGTAGTGAATGGTGTGTGAGTGTATATGAATATTGTTGTAGATCACCGAAATGATTGCATCTTTAATTTTGTTGTACTATGTACAATGACAATAAAGTATATTATTATTATTATTATTAATGCAGTAGCCAAATCGCTTGCTCACAGCTTTAATGCCAGTAGCTCACAAAGTAGAATTTTTGCTCACAAGACTCCACAGCGTAGAGGGAGCACTGATTATAACCCCCCCCCCTTAATCACAACTATGATGTGGCAGAGAGATTTTCGAAAAAAGATGTGAGTCCAGTAGCACAAGAATAGTCAAAGCTCCCTTTGACAGGAACCTGTATCTTACAAAGGGACTAATGACTTTCAAAAACTTATACCCAGAAATCCTGCTAGTTTTTAAGGTGCTAATGGACACAAATATTGCTCTTCTACAGCAGACCAGAATATCCACCCACCTGAAACTATCTTCTTAAACAGACAAAGAGCCCTGAACAAATGCAGAGCAATAACGCTGGAAATCAGGCAGCATGAAAGCAAAACTAGCTCATGGTAAGGCATGGCAGATAATGCAGGAGGAGCTTGAAACAAGTGCACATAGCGATAGGGTGCTGCAAAAGTGCGGCCTGATCCAAGACGCAGAAAACAATCCATCTCCACCCAACCTATGTTAATGTCTATCCAAGGCAATGACGCCATGCATTAAACAATTAACAATAAAGATCTGTTTACCATTTATATATTACTGGAAGTGTTTAAATGTTGCCCAGAAATCCGGCAAAGGGTTACCTGCACATGGCCCTACTGTTAACAGTCTGTGCACAAGACCTGACTCTGCTGCATAGTCACGTTAATTTTTCTTAACAAAAAACAGCAGCAGAGATGATAATATATAACCATATGTATGCAAGCAAGATACAGTGTGGTCTTGTTTTGATGTTGAAACACTAGGATATTTTCACAGTTTAAACAGCTGCTTGTTTTGCGTCCTTTACCTGAGGTCCCGAAGATCCTGAACAGAGGATTCAGAAGACCTGCCATTTCCTGGTTTGTCTGGTCAAGGAGGGAAAGAACTCAGACAGATTCAAGTGTACCCAATTACCACCCTGCCTGTGACACTTATACAATAATAATAATAAGGCATTGTGTGTAGAATAGCCTGGAGATCCTGGGATTGTCTGGCAGCCAGGAGTTCTAGCTCTTCTAGTGTTCTACACCCCAAGGTGGTGAGCTAGACTTAAGGCAAGAGATGTTTCCGAGGTGGTTTGTCATTGACTGCCTCTGCATCACAACCCTGGCATTCCTTCATCCTTCTAAATACTAGCCAAAGTTAACCCTGCTTAGCTTCCGAGATCTGACAAGATCAGGCTAGCCTGAGCTATCCATATGCCCTCCTTTACTCCACGGGGGCTTTAGCTCCACCAGCTGGGACAAGAAGATGTCTGCAACTCCTGGCAAAAGGCCAAAGAAATTAAAATAAAACAAGGGGCACAGTATGGCTGTGGCCCATGCAGGCTGATCCCATAACTGCCCATTAAGAAGAAAGGCCCGCTCTATTCAATGGAGCTTAAGTAAGCAAGCACTGGACCACAGCATACATGGGCCTGCTGAAGAGAAAGGAGAAGACCAAGCAATTCAAGTAGATCCTGCTTCTCTTCAGGCGAATAGCAAGGGGGACCTGGAGGAGAGAGGAGGGCAGAATTTCCCCCTCCTTATGGCAGACATCCACTTGTATAATAAACATACTGCGTTTGTATACAGATAGACACATGCAGCCAGCTTTTAAAGGTGCATATATACACACAGGGCGCTCGGGTACCTCTCCGAGTAGCGCCGCAGTTCAGCGTCCAGTTGCGTGCAGATTCCCGTCCGCTTCCGATGCAGGAAACGCGGCGCCAGCGCGATGTGCCTCCGGTGCGGCGTGATCACCAAGCAGGAGTAGCGGTTCTGCGCCAGTGTTCGCGCAGCCTCGAAGGATGGCAGCTCCACACAGGGAAGAGAAGGAAGCGTCGTCGTCACCATTGCCTCCGCCGCCTGGCCCAGACCGTTTCCCCCCTCGGCCATGGCGCAGCAAGACCCGATCTCTCGGAAACTTTACACGGCAAACACGAGGTCTCCTGTCGCTGAAAAATGACGTTATCGAAAGGAAGCGCTCTTTAGTGACAGACTAGGGAGAAGACCTAACGATGGGAGGTTGCTTGGCAGCCATCTTGTGTGTGGCTTGTGCGATGAAGACAAAGTGGGATGTAGTATTTGAAAGCTCAGCTCGTAATAAACGTGATAGTTTTACAGACTCGTTGTGTATATCTTTTAAATCAACAAACATAGCGAGTTCTCTAGAACATGTTGAAAACTACGCTTTAGAAGTCCCGCCTGGTGAGGAAATAAGAACGTCCTCATCCGGGCCCTTGCCTCAACTGATTTCCCCCCCCCCCCATTAAACAGGGGGAAGAGGGTTATCAGCCGCGCACGCGTCCTTGGAGTTTGACGTCATAGCTAGCCGAGAATAGAAACTCCTCCCAACTGTGAGTGATTAGCCAATCTTTGCAATCGGTCTCTTTCTTGTGTTTGTTTAATCGCGTCTCTCTGGAATTTGTCCGCTCCATGCGAAGATTTCTAGTGTTGAGGAACCGGCTGTCCCGGCTCTTTTTTTATTGTGTGTCGCGTACGATCTGTTTTTCGCACAATTTTTTTCAATTCGTAGTAGGTGTGTTGAGAGTTAGGCTTCATTGTTGCTGCTCGGCAAGTAGGAAAAAAAGTATACTTTTCTCCTCCTTGAGCTATAGTTGCAGTACTCAGGAGAGAAAAGGCGATAAACACAGAATTCAAAGGACGCTTTTTTTTTTTTAGCAAGTTTATGTTAAAGCAGAATAGCACTTTAACTACCTGAGAAAGAAATTTGGCCGGCTGGAGGGATAAACGATTGTTCCCACCCCCATTGCTTTAGAATTGTGCAAGTTTAAATTTAAATGTATAGATAAATATCTACGTCAGGGGTGTCAAACCTGTGGCCTGTGGGCCAGAACTGGCCCACCCAGGGCTTTAAGGCTGCAGCAGCTCTCTCCTCCACCCCCTGTCCTCACTCTTCTGAGGGAGATCGGGGCTGCCAAACTTCCCAGCTGGCTGGGCCTTGTCTTTGCCTATTTCCCCTCTGGCAGGAAGCTCTTCTGGGCTAAAGCAGAAAAAAAGTTGCAAAGAAAATGTGGAATGGATTTTCCTTTAAGGTCTCTGGGCCCAAATAGACTACTCTGGGACTGGAATGACAGCCCCCAGAGTGGAATGACAGTCCCTGAGAGTAGCAGCTGCATTCTGGGAATGGAATTCTGCTCTGGGGGCTGTCATTCCAGTCCCAGAGTAGTCTATCTGGGCCCAGAAACCTTAATAGAAAATCCACTACTCATTTTCCTTGAAACTTTTTTTTGACCTACAATGTATTTCAATGGAGTGGAGCTCAAGTAGTTTCAGTTTCTAGTGTTTGTATGCCAGCTGAAGTTGTCTCCTTGCAAATAAAGGGCTGATGTCTTGAACCAGTTTGTCTCTGCTGAATGGATCTGAAAATGAGTACTCTAACCTGGGAACCCACAGGCAAAGGGGGACATTACAGTGGAGAGCCACTGCCACTCTGAGTAGACCGGGTGGGGGGAGCTTGCAATGTCTAGTCATTTCATATTTTCCTTGGCTCAGAGCATTTTATATTTTTAGTTTTTATTTTTAGTTTGGTGTATGGACTCTAATCTGGGAGAACCGGGTTTGATTCCCCACTCTTCCACTTGCACCTGCTGATGTGACCTTGGGTCAGTCACAAGCTCTGGCACAGCTGTCCTTGAAAAAGAGCAGTTTGTGTCAGTTCTCTCAGCCCCACCCACCTCACAGGGGTGTCTGTTGTGGGGAAGGGAGTTTGTAAGCCGCTCTGAGACTCCAAGTGAAGGGTGGGGTATAAATCCAATCTCTTCTCTTCTTCTTCTTCTTAGTTTCTGCTGTGATCCTTGTGCTTTTTCTTGATGTTTTATTTTAAAAAGTGCATTGCCAAATCCCACTATCCCCCCCAGCCCCCACTTTTCCATTTTAGGTGGGTATCTTTTATGGGTGGGGGGAAGGTTGGGGAGGTGTCAGTAATCAAAGACTGTTAAATTAACAAAATATGGCAAGTGTGTTACTGTTTTAAACATGTTTGTACTTCAACTTTTTTAAAAAACTATAATTGTGTTTGTCAGTGTCCTTTATAAATTTAATATTTTTGCTACCTGGCATTGTATTTTATGACACACATGGCCTGGCCGGACAAAGTCCCATTTATGTCAGGTCCAGCCCTCATAACAAATGAGTTTGACACCCCTGATCTACATGGATGCATAAATGCAGTTTAGGGAAGAATCACCAGATGGCATAATTGAGCCTTGAAAATATATCTAAGCATCTTTGTTTTTAATGAAAATAAGGTCCCAGTTGCACTAAAATTAATAGGAGCATTTCCAAAAAAAGGTTTACATCAAATTTTTCAAGCTCAGTTTTCCTCAGACTGTCTGCTGAGCTGCACCTGGTTATAAACTTCTCAGTCATTGCAAAGAGGGAATGACTGTCATATGAAATAGAGAAATTAGGATGACTGCAGTTCTCTTCCATGTAAGTGTGCTGATGCTACAAAAATTAACAGAGAATCTCCTGGCATCCTTAAGGATGAATATATTGTGGCATAAGTCTAAGGAGTCCTCTTCCTGAGATGCATATTATATTCAGCAATTATGTGTCTCCTAATTTCCATTCTTGCTTCGTGGGAATATTTAGGATGTCAGGGTTGGGGCATTTCTGGGAGAGTCTTTACCTTCAACCTTCATTTTTTTTTTTTTGTCTACCTGGTCTTTGAATACTAGGGAATGGGAGGTGCCCAAGCCATTTTTATTTAAGTCACTTTTTAAAAATTTAAAGATGGTAATATATTTCAGAAATATACCCCCCCCCCAAAAAAAAAACACCTTGATATAATGTGCAGGTTTCTTTCCTCAATGTGTGGTAGGATTCAATACCCTTAAATGCTAGTAGCATGCTGTAATTACTCAAGGATACAGTCTTGACTTTGCCATAGAAGGTTGCAGGGTGACTTCAGGGTAGTCAATTACAGAATCCTGTCACGAACACATGAACCAGGTCATTGGTCTATCAAGGTTAGCATTCTTGGCAATGTCTCCCCAGGTTGTCAGATGGAGGTCTTTCCCATCACTTACCACTCGATAGTTTTAGCTAGAAATGCTGGTGATAAAATGTGGGACCTTTTGCATACCAAGCTGGTACTCTACCACTGAACCACAGCCCCACCCCTTAGTCTAACCTACCTCACAAGGTTGTTGTGAGGATAAAATGGAAGAGAGGAGAATGATGTGAGCTGCTTTGGGTCCCCACGGGGGGAGGGGGGAGGCTTATTTAAATGAATTAAATAAATATAATAAGTTCCATTGATTTCAGTTGACCTCTGAAGTCGGTACAGTTACAGAGCAATCTTGTGTTGCGCCTGAGCTGCAGCACCCAGCTGTGGCACAACTCCGCTGCTGCTAGTCGCCTCCCTAAGGGCCAAATGGAGGGAAAAAAGGTGCCCCCATCAGTGCTGCTGGGTGCTGCCATGGTGGTGCCCGTAGAGTTTTGGCCACAGTGTTTCATCCCGGGGTTGCTAGGTGGGGGCAGGGGCAGTGTGATAGGGGAGGCAGGACAAATGGGAGTCATGAATTGAGGGGGACAAGCCATGCATTTGTCACTGGCAGGGGGCGAAGGGGTGGGCCACAGGAGCCATGCTCCTCTGCAACATACACACCCTTAAAGAGACCAGCTCCCATCAGAAGCCCTGGCCACCGGTCATTGGGGACGGGGATGTCACTCATCCACCCCTTGAGCACCCCAAGCTGTTGCTCCACACAAAGGGCCCCTGAGGGCTGCAGTGGACAAGACCGTGGATGTGCGGGTGCCCTCCACTCACCGGCAGCCATGCCATCCAGCGGGGTGCCCAGGCTGTCGAGGGCGTCTGTGTGGCAATCCCCATGCCATCCTCACTGGAGGATGAGCAGGAGGGGTGCGTGGGCTGTTGGGGGACTCCAGATAGCCTCCGACAGGTCTCCCAGCAGCCTCTCAGTGCACCCCTGTCCCTTACCACCCGCTCATAAGGGGCACCTTTGGCCATGAGGGCTTGGACATGCTTCTGAGTGGGACCAAAGTAATCATTCCAGTGCTTCAAAGTGGAAATCTCTGTCTGGACAGCATGCACCAGGGCAGAAACTCATTCTTCCACCATGCACCAGAAGGCACAGTGTCAGAAGATGGCACAGCTGCTCCTGGCACCAACCTGTACAGCAGAACCTTTTCAGCCTCAGCCAAGTTAGGCTGGTGGCCTTCACCATCACCAGATGTTGTAGCAGCCACCCCCACACAGAGGAATGCGGAGGTGGGGTTGATGCACTGTGGAAAAATGCTGATCCCCCCCTTCCTGCCCCCCCATGCTCCCACTATATCTCCCGACAGGAGGGGGCTAGGGGTGCCGCACACTAAGCTACTGAGAGAGGGGGTATGTAGTGTCCATGAAATAATGTGGTCCTCGCTGCCCTTCACAATTGTGAATGCTGCCCCCTCTTTCCACAAGGGCTAGCTAGCCGCTGGCAGATTGGTGCCCTCTTCTGCCCATGCTAGGGGTCACCACATCCATTTGCTACCAACATTCTACACCTAGGTGGCACAGTGGTGCCCATCAGTACTGAGCTCACATCAGCAACTTCTGTCTGTTGGAGAGCACCTGCCTTGATTGGTTTCACCTTGATAGAGCTGTCATCCAGGCCCTGTGCAAAGAATTGGGTTCTGCTCTGCAGGATCAAGCTCCCGCTCCCTGTGCCATCCCCGTCTTGTAGAAGATGCTGCTCTCTCTGAGGCTCCTGGCCACTGGATCCTTCTGGGGGTTATGGCAGAGGTCCTCAAGGTGTCCCAGTCCTTGGCTAGCCACTGCCTGCACACCTTTCTGGATGCCATCCTCCTCACCCACCTTCAGAAGCATGTGCACTTGCCCACCACAGAGGGTGACCTGACACCTATCACGGCAGGGTTCGCAGCCTACATCCAAGCCCACTGCCCAACACATAGTCATCGAGT